GGGGGGGGGGGGGGCGTACTCATGATTGGCATGCCATGTTATTGGACCATTGACCACGCGTTCTCCTCGAAAGGACGGAGCATGCTTGTTCCCACCGGACCGATCACCGATGGCCAATCCTTCGTAGCGACGGGAGGGGATGTACCCATGCAAACGCATGCCTCAGTCGGTAGGCCGTAAACCTCGCACCCCTACAATGCCGGGACGGAGGAGCGATATGCCGGGTTTTCGCCGGCCCGGGCTACGGTTCACAGTAGTTAACCAGAATAATCTTTGTGCCTTTTCAGTGCCACACCAACGGCGCGCACGCGGGAGCGGTGGGGGGGTTTTGTCCTGGGGAGATTCGTCTGCCGGTAGGCACGACTTCCTCGTCGAGGAGGAGGATGTGTACTGCACGACGCCGGCTCTCATGACTTTTTTTCTAGCGTTGTCGCACGCCCGACTGGTTCGTTAGCCGTGTCGGGGGCGACGCGAGCAAGAAAACCACGCACCGGGAGGCACACAGCACACCGCTAGCGCGGTCGATATCAATTCGAGAAACACACACATACACATTTTCGGTAGACATACCCTTCTGTTACACGCGTTGGTGTTTTTTATCCCGCTACAAGACTGGTTCCTTGGTCAGAAGGTTCGCGCGGTCAATGCTTACAATAAAAAAACACACACAGGAACACATGCAAGACATACCTGGCGTGGCTCCAGGCAACGCGTCCGCAGGCCGTAGGACGAGCACCGCCCTGTGGGAGCCCCTTTGTTGCGGCTGCCACCACGCCGGCCGACGTCGTATCGCCAGCCTCTTCCGCTTCTCGTCCCGCTCCAACCGCGCTTTCTCGTACTGCTGCTGCTGCTGCTGAGCGTGATCGTCAAGCTTTCCCCTCTTTGCGCTGTCTCCCGCGGATGCTCCTGCCGCCGTAGCCGCTGCGGTCAGGGGCATCACGGTGGTTGGATTTTCTGGTCAACAGGTGTTCTCGTTGTCAGGTCGATGTCGTCATTGACGTCCTAGAATGCGCTACTGCTGCTGCCGTCTTTCGTTGTCATGGGTACTGCGTCGTTGACACCCTAGAGCGTGCCACTCCTACTACTGCTGCTGCTACTGCTGCTGCCACTGCTGCTGCTGCCACTACTGCTGCTGCTGCCACTGCTGCTGGCTTTCGGAATGGAATCTGGGGAGCGTTGCAAGCAAATGCTATAAAGCTATGATGACAGCAGCGTTCGAAAAACGGCGTGAGCGACGAGCATCCTCGAAGGGGCCGCCGCACGTGAACACGCGCACCTGCTGCTCCTTCCGCGCCCGCCGCCGCCGCCGCCGCCGCTTCCGGCAGTTCTCGTGATAGCTGCCACGGTAGGAGCCCCCGGCTGACCTGGGAAACCAGGAGGTTCAACAGCGGAACAGGGTTTTACACAAATACCGAGGGGTTTTCAATCCGTGGTCCGGCGCGTATTCAACGGTCACACGCGGATGTCGCGCCGAATGCGGCAAGAGACAAAAGCTGCCAACACCCCCCCCACAAAAAAAACATGCACAGCAGTCAGGCTGACGTCTATTTTCAGTGGTATCCCGGTTACATAGCGCTTTCGACGATAACCAAGGACACCTACACGACATATAGCCCAGTCTCTACCATGACGCCCCTTCCCAGATCATGGCCTTTCGACCGGCTCTCTGCTCGCAGCCCCTCTGAGACTGACGTCTTTTTTCTGGCCACCCGGTCGATACTAGCAACAAAGACACACACACACACACACACATTAGCGCGGTCGATGCTAATAATAAAAGCACACACACACACACACACACACACGCACACGTACCTCTTCCTTCTGCCCAGTGACGCCTCGTCCCGCCCCCCCCGCTAACACCCCCTTCTTACTCTCCATCGACCCCATCGGCCTTCCCACCGGCCGCTTGGCCCTCCCAGCTATAGCAAGAGGCGGAGGCGGAGGCGGCGGCGGCGGCGGCGGCGGCGGCGGCGGCGGGGCTGCGGCGGCGGCGCATTTTCGGAACACCAGGAAGCGCAGCCAATCGGAATCATCGTCGTGGCCCGCTGAAAGCCTCTCGAAGGCGTCTTGGCCGTCGTTGTCGTTGTCGTTGTCGTTGTCGTTGGTGGTGGTGGCAGTGGTACTGGCCTTGCTGCCGCCCTTCTTTGTTTGGAAGGCGGTGTCGCATGCTCGAAGGGTCCGCCCGACCTCGAGCCAAAAACTGCTCGCGAGCGGCGGCGGTTGCAACACGACACGGAAACAAGCAGAGCGCGACGGCCAGGGGGGAGTCAGCGACGGAAGGATGACGAGGTGGGTAGCGGCCGCCTCGAGACAGGACGGCAGGAGTTGAAGCACCGGTCATTCATACTTTAAGTATGCCCCATTGCCCCGACTACTCCCTCAAACACGGTACCGCACTCTTCTATATATAGAGCAAAAAAACAGAAAAACTGGCCTCAGAACAAGCAAAAACACGAAACCGGAATTCCGTGTCAACACCCATAACTGAAGTGAGCAGAAGAGCAGAGGCAAAAAGAAAACATATACTTCTATACATCCTCCTATATACATACATACATAAGTATATTTATACATACCTGGCCTCGGTTGTTGATAAAAGGTGGTTCCCATCCACCGCAAGCAAGAGGTCCTTCGGCTGCAGGCCGTGCCTAGCTGCCACGCCGTCTGGCGTGATGGACGACACCTGGACACGGAACCCGGCGTGTTGGGATGTAGGGAGAGGGCAATTGAAGTCATGCTGTCGGGAGGGGAACATGACTGCGAGAACATAAGAGACGCTGGGCCATGTACCACGTTGCTACACATCAAAAACCGTCCCGGTCTCTGCTCAGTACCTTTCAATATCCATCATGGTATCCACAACCACGAGAACAACCACCGCATCCCTCGGCCAAGACCGTCAGCAACCCTTGCACTACGCTTCAACTGGACGAGCTAGATCTGCGGTACAACAAAACTATAACTCCGAGCTTGCAGCTATGCACTCAGCACCCCATGCACCACGTTTCAAAGGACAATCCCATTACAATTCCGAGCTTGCTTGCACCCACCCCCGCTTGCGCCTACCTCGATGCACTCCATCCACTGTGACAGCTCCCGCCTCTCCACGTCGAAACCCAGCCGCCGGGCCACCTCCGCGTCCTGCTCAGCCGGACGCTCTCCCGCTCGAGACGCGGGCGAATCACGGTCGGTTGGGGGAAGCACGCCTCCTCCGGAGGCCATGAACACCGACCAGCACAGCTCTACGAACTCCCGGCCTTCGTGCCCCTGATCGCAGTCGTGTGCGTGGGGATGCGCAGTGCGCGCGCACAGGGGGGG